TGCTTGACTTCTAAGAAAATAGTCTACTCCACACTGTATATTGGCCAGTCTCCACAGAATATTCTTTTCACTGTTCAAAACTATTGCAAGTGGAAAACCTGTAGCAGTTTAATCTTATCTATGATTACTTTATGTGCAGGCAAATGTTACAGGCATTCTAAAACATTAATGCTTACTAACAGCTAGAATTTTCTGATACATACTTGTTGGCTTTTTATCTGTCCAAATTTTTCATACAGTGTTAATTTTTTTTTCTGTAGATGTGTGTGCATGCATAATAGAGTGTTTCACAATGAAATGGCCATTGTGTTTAGGAACACTGAACTGTATCAGGAAATATACTGTACAATGAAAATGTGTCCATTTCCAGAAACAGGCTGGGTCATCTCAAAGATCAAAATTTAACTAGTGATAAAATCCACACAACTACATTGTATGGTAGGAAAACTCTGGACGGTTCCTTCAGTTACATTACACTACAGTTACACTAGTCTGCAGCACATTTGATTCAAATTTCTTTGAAAACAACAAAAAAAAATACTAAGCAAATACTTAAAGTACATTGTGGAATGGGCAATAAAATCCCTTTCCAATCTTCGGATAACCTGCAAAATCAAACCTAATCGCATGCTGTAATATTAACATTTTTTTAAATAATAAAAAAGACCTGAATGGGACTGGTTTCAAAACTGAATGGCTAGGGAAAACATACTGTTTTTAAACGCATAAATCATACTCTGGTGTTCTGATTGCAGACAGATATTTGATAGCCACAAGGGCTGTTAAGCACAGAGACACGTGGGTAAGGATCCTATGATATACCATCAGCCCCCAAGGCCACAGCATGAGAGAATCTTCTGCACAGTTATTTTCTTCTTACAATGACCTTTAACATTTGGTTAATTTTTAGAGTTTCTTGTGCAGTATCATTCAAGAGAGATGCCTATTAGTTCCCGAGCAGTCCATGGTCACAACAAATGAACAATAACTCGACTCTTAATTCATTTACAAATCCTTCCCACAGCAAAAATAAAATACAACAAATTCAGATGCTGTAAATCACAAAGAAAAAAGGGCTCTGCTCATTTAAAATGGAACCACTGTGCTGCAGGTCTTTTGGTCAATTAAACCCGAGTTATTTAAAAGGCTAATTACCACTGTCTGTCAAACAAATGTCTACAGTTTCTTTTGAGAAGTTTTTGCTTATTACTCATTGCAGATAAAGTAGATAAGTAAAATGTGCTAGGCACATGACGATGACCACATGCAATCCAGACTTTTGTTAACAATGAACAAAAAATATGGAAGGTGTTTGACTATAAGGCTCATTAATCAATATTATGAGTAAGAATCCCATACCTGACTAATTGGGAAGGCCAGAGAGAAAGGAGGTTTGATTCATGCACTGTAAACATGACACAGCTACAAATGCTACTGCAAAAAAAGCAAAACTTCTGCTATTTTACAATCTTTGCTCTTAATCCCCATGAATTATAGAAGAAGCACTCACTGGCTGTAAGACACTTAATTACAGTACTTTAGGTGTTTTTAACTCCAGGATGAACTTGTCCTCATTGATCCTCATACTCATTGTCTTAGGGCTGATCTCAGACATTTCTTGGAACTAAACTAAACTTCTCCAGAAAGAGAAGGAAACATGACAGTTTTTAGCAAAATTTTAGCAAATTGCTCATTTGAGGGAACTGTTGTGTCTCCTGTGTAAGTGATTTTTTTATTTGCATTTCCTATAACTGACTTTAGCTATTTATGGAGGAAAAACTGACTGGAAAACTCACAGCTTTACATATTCAACATTAAAAAACATTACCTAAGAGGTGGACTCTAGTTGTGTTCTAGTCTTCTAATGGGAACTAATATGTAGTAATTTTAAAATAAACTAACAGACAGGGACAAATGTAAAATAAACACGTGTGCAAAAAACAGTTACATACAGTAGTACCTCTAATCATTGTCTGAAATTCAGTACAGCTGTAGAGTGAAAAACTCCTTGTGCTGGAGATGACTCATTCACTGTCACTCAGTAGTAGTGTATGTGTCAAACAAAGTAAAAGATGAAAAGAAATTATTCTAACTTTCTATTACCCTGGAAAATATGCCCTACAGTGATGCATACTCAACTGGAGATCATATTAGCAGTGCTACAGTTTTGCCATTTTCAGTTTAGTGGTTTTCATAAGACAGCTGTAATAATTTGTGAGGGATATTAATTGCACAACACTTTGGCACCAATACAGATGAGAATATTTACTGTAAATCATGTATTGAGGGTTTCAACTTGAGAATACTTTCTAAGTTCCTTTTGAGCCATTTTTTCTGGTAAAAAAGGGAAAAAACGTCCTCATGTTTCAACACTAGAAAGAAAATGATCAATATTTATTGCAATCTTTAAAGCAGCCTTTTTTTATCAGTTTTGTACTCCAGCCATAAAGTGCAGGAGTACTACAGTGAGTTGAAAAACTATTCATACCCTTACACAATCTGATGCATGACAGCTTGAAATAGCAAATAATGTTTGTTGTAGACACAACCTACTCCACACAATCAAAGCAAAAAAAATATAAACAGATAATTAATGGTAAATGGAACAGTCATGATGACAAAATAATTAAAATCTTTTATTGTGGAAACCCTGACTGGCGCACAAAAAATACTTAACTAGTCACACAATTAAGTGAGTGTCCCTTAGCTGTGTACAATAATGATTCAGAAGATTTCAGAATTAATACACCTGTCTCTGTAAGAATGTCCAGCAAGGAACTGAATTTTGAACAAAGATTCAGCCATAAGGACTAAGGATCTCTCAAAATAACTCAGGGATAACGTACAGAGCCACAGACCACGGGAATTTTATAAAGATTTCAAAGGAATATTGAGTATTCCTTTGAGCACGGTGAAACTGATCATTGAGAAATGGAAGATATGTCATACTGTACCAACTGGCCACTGTTTAAATCAGGCAGTCTGCAAGTCCAGCAGTGACTTTGATACTGTATTTCAATGACTGAAACAGGACAAAATGTCCATCAATCAAAACTGACTTGTATGGCATAATTGCAAGATGCCACTTAGTACTTGAAAAAAATCTCTGATACTGCATGGAGTTTGCATCAAAGTATTTGAAGCAAAATTTGTTTTGTGGTCAGTTGAGACAAAACTGGAACATTTTTGTCTAAAAGCAAAATGTTATGTCTAGTGCATTCACCAGTACGCCATCCCTGCTGTCAAGCATTGTGGTGGAGGCATTATGTTATTATGGGGCTGCTTCTCATCAGCAGGAACTGAAAAGCTTGTCACGACAGAGAGAAAAAATGGATGGAGCAAAGTACAGGCAAATACTAGGAGGAAACCTGTTTCAGTCTGCTAAAGACTTAACACTGGAGTGAAAATGCAGTTTCAGTACGATAATACTGAATAATTTGATCCAAAACACAAGGAGTGGAGTGGCCTAAAAATAAGAAAGTAAATTCCTTTGAGTCTTCCAAAGTCTGGACTTGAATCCTACTGAGAATTCAATTCAATTCAATTTATTTTATAAAGCACCTTTCACAACAAGGTTGCCCCAAGGCGCTTAACAAAGCAAGTGACCATACTGTACATGTTGTGAATACACAACTGAAAAGACCAGAAGACAACAGAGGAGAGGAACCAAAAACCCCTTAGTAAGGAGAAAAAAAAAACCTTTAGGGGTCCAAGGTCAACTGGCTGCCCAGCCCCTTTGGTGAGAATTGGTGGAAACTTCTTGAAAACTGTTATATACAGTATATAAGCAAAGCCCAGGCAATTTGAAAGAGGCAGAGTAAATCTGCCAAGAAGAATGGGCACAAGGTGGATGGAGAATCTGCCAAGGTGGTGCAAAGTGGACAGAGAAGTACCCAAACAGACTTGCTCCTGAAAAGTGGTGCCAAAGGTTCTTCCACCAAAATATTCTGTTCACAGATTGAAAAATGAAATTTATTGCAAAGTATTCACGTTTGCTTTTTGCTGACATTTCCAGTACCTTTGTCATGCTCGTCATTGTGGAGCAGGGACAAGCCTGTATTTACAAGGTAGCCGGCCTTCTCTTATTCAGCACTGGTTACCATGGTAATTAAGTCGACAGGAGTCTTATACCACCTGGAGACAATTACCCAACTGCCTGCCTCAGGTGGTTCAAGACTACATACCTATGGTCTGGCAGTGCTTGGGATCACGGTCATATAGTTCGCTTGGTCTTTATCTTTGTCCTGAGTTCTGAGTTCTTGCTGTGCTTGCTTCCTGAACTCTGGACCCTGCTTCACCCTGTCCTTGTTCAGTTGACCCTCTTGTGGTGCTTTGTACTGTGTCACTTGGTTTTGAACTTTGCTTGTTCCTGTTTACGGCTCTGGACTGTGCTTGGCTGTGCTTGGCTTCGCTGCCCCTGTCTGTCTCCACTGCAGGCTGCCAACACCATGCTGCTCACGCAAGCTGCTGTGTGCCTGTGTTTCGCTGCTTCTCTGCTCTTGGCTTTTTTTCACAAAATACATACTGTATCTCTGCTTCACCGCCTCCAGCAGCAACACACTGCAACCTTATCTTACTCTTAGAAATCTTCAGCTTCAGCATTCTGGCTTTGAAAAAATTATTCTGTTTATTGCTGTGTAAGCATTATTTTCTAATTGTACAAAATGGGACACCATAGAAAGGATCTCAATACTCTTGCAAGAGAGCACATGCACAAGATGTTTCAGTGCTGCAGTGGAAATATTTACATTATGAAAGTGAGGATGAAGAGTGAGAAACAAAGTGGATGAATTTGCATTTGAATTTACATCCAGATACAAAACAAACTTATCGTGGTTAAAATTGAAAGAGCCATGTACACTATGGCTTAAAATCACATTTCTGAAAAGGCTGCTGAGACCCTCTTGCAACCCCACTGCACTGTTGTCTCCTCACAGGACAAATGTCACGACTCTGAGATAAATGTTGTAAGAATATGGATTTGCTTCCTCTGTCTGCAGGTGTAAGAGGGAGAAGGGAAGACAAGACACCTGGGAGCTAAACACTGCAGAAGCAGAACATCTGGTTCCTCCTCCAGCTGTAAGTTCTGCTCATCACACCCGCTCTGTCCATACGAGTCTGTCCACCTTTAAAGCATCAGAGCCAACTGACTTCATGGATAGTTTCAGAGTTTAAAGTTCAAAGGTTGTCCCATTGGGAAAAAAAATGACTCCACATTTTCTTAAACATCTTGCGTCTTAGTGTAAAGAACCGCTTGAATGGATTCAGCAATACAAATTAAAAAGATGAAAGTTTCTTTTTTTTTTTATTAAACCAAGGCTCAAGTCCAAACTCTCCTGCCAAACTCAAAATTCAAACCCAGTTCTTCATAGCAGACTTCCATTAGGTTGATGCAAAAAAGCTTCAAGGAAATTTAGTTATTACACAGTTGGAAATTGAAGACAGGTTCGTTGATAGACGTTTGATTTAATCCAGGCCATTGCATTATACAGTTAGCACAGTTCATTTGGTGTACTATAGCAGAGGGTTTTGAAAAGCCACATTTGACATCTGCATTGACTCTCCCGTTGCTCCATTTAAACATTATTTTTAAGGAGTTGGATAAATAATGTTTTAGATACAATAGGAATGACCTAGATAGACGTACTGTATACACATTTATCCTCTAATTAAAAGGTGTTACCTGCAATTTACTGAATCGTCAACTATCAATAGAAAAAAAAAGACCTCATCATAAATTTTCTTTTAGTGCACGTGAGGATAGTACTCCCAGAATTAATTATAATAAATGAATATATTTATTATACATATAATAGCCAACATTAGATACCCAGTGCATGATGAGAACAGTCATCAGTGATCAGATCAAAGAAGTCACAATGTAAATAATAAAAAGCACTTATGTTTTATAAGCCTTATTTAAAAAAGTACACACAACCATATTCCCAGACTCAAAATCTTAAATTAGCATGTTTTATTAAAAATCCCCCCCCAAATTTTTTCAAATAAACCTTAATATATTTTTCCATGTACTTCCGTCTATACCAATTTATTGACACTTATGCTGAAGGTTTCTGTTCTGCAGATTTAAAATGCCCAAGAAATGAGTGTATAGAGTTGAAAAGCAGGTTTAAAAGTCTTGTCAGCCTACTGTTTCTCCAATTAGAGTTTTAAAGAAGTCTCTTGCTACTCCTTTCAAGTTTCAAGTGGTTTTATGATCACAAGCTTTGCTGTAAAATATTTTGGGATCCTATCTGTGATGAGAGGTGCTGTATACGGAGACATTATTGTTAATACATTTGGAGGCCTTTAATGACATGCCATGAGTTGGTGTCCCACTGGACTCCTGGAACATGAGGCGGAGTGGGGGAGGGCTGAGAAACAGTGTTGTGGCTGGGGCAGCTCTGTTGTCACATGCACATTTATTTCTGCAGCTGTACTTGGAAGCTCGGTCACTATGCCTTTGATCTCTAGTAATTAATAATGACTGTCTGTCTGATGTCATTGCAAAGATCCTGTCATTCTGAAGAGGAACTGGGGAGGAAAGGAGTGATGTCTGCAAATCACAGGGACAGGATTACCAGGGGCCATGGCCTTATATATATTGTATGTAATCCAGGTCTCCCTTTTGAGTAACAGATCTCTCTCTAACCATGCTACTATCAAAGTTTTGCAACTACAAAGGGTACAAGGAGGTTTTCTTGGGTCTGACATGGTAATTTGAACCCCAAAAGCAGGAAACATTTGATGTGATTTTGAAGCTTGAGTTTCAGTGTGGTGAATTTAAACACTCAACATTAAAACTTAAAATACCTATATCTTTATTGTCCTTATTCCAATCAATCAGAATAATCCATGGTGCTTAGCATACACCCTGTAACTAAATTTTGCTTGCCATTAACTTTCAGAGCATGAGTTAAATTCATGGCTGATTCACCATAAGGAAAACTCAAAGGAACTTTTCAGTTCAAACCTTAGGAAAACAATGATTATTCATTCAGCCCTTTACCATGTGATTCCTTATTGAAAACAGTGAGATTTATGTGCTATTTTTTAAACAGGAGGTGCTGCCAATGCAGAAGCTCTTTCCAGACTTAGCGTAAATCACTGCAGAGTTTTTAGCAGTGGTTACTGTGTTCTGATACTCTTACATTTGAATTTGTTTGGTTATACACCACCAAACCACCTTGGCCCTGCAAATAATGTTTAATCCCATTTAGTTCTTTCTTCGGGCAAAACCAAAGAGTCCCACAAAGTCTGCTGTTTAAAATAGAGTCATTTATCTCCATCCCATATTCCCATACCCATCTGCAAGAACCAGTGAAGCCCACTGGATTCTACATTGTGCAGAGTTGTGCAGAATGCAAGCCAGGAACCCTCACTGTGCTAGCAGGGGCTAATTCTATCAATGCTTACAGTATTAGCCTTGCAGTGTTGCCATTTCTTATCATCGTGAGTGGTTTCTAATCCCAGCGTTCCTTCATTGTTCAAACACTATCACAAGCAATACCACTCCTGTCTTTGGACAACAACAAAGAATGCACAATGAAAGATTTGTATTCCGATAAATAGCTCAGGGCCAAATTAAAAGTAAAGTACAACTCCCCTAGGATATTAATTGAGCTTTTTTCCCCTTTTTTTGGCAGTGCGGGTATTTGTTTTGTAATGTTAGCTGGTAGTGCCTCCCTAGGGTGTCAGCTGCGTGTGGTGGGGCAGGGAGGCAGTTGTACAACGTGCTGCTGCCCCTTCTGGCCTCCATTCTTTGCAGAGGGAAAAAAAAGGGAGAAGAAATGCTTGTTTGGGAGGAAGCCAGGAGCTTATAAACTGGTCTTACGAGCCTCTTTGTGCTGGACTGCTGAACTGTTTGAGACAAGTCCATTAGAGCCAGACTACCAAATCACATCACCCGCTTATCGGACTCTGTAGCTAGCAAACATTTGTTCGTTAACAGTTCACGTCTACCATGAAATGCGTACACCGCATGCTGTTTAGCTGCAGCGTGAATGGACACAAAACAGGAAAATGTCGTATAGCTTCTTTCCAGAAGAAATCTCTTTGCACAAAAATGTATGTCATAGAGGAAAAAATGGCTGCTGGCCATAAGGTTTTACAGGATGAAAGTTACATTGAATTAGAGTTCATTTATGATATTATACCTTTAATAAATGCGGGAGATATTTTGTTGCATAAATACAAGACTTGCTTCCCCCCCCAAAAAAAACCTGGGCCAGTTTGAAGCTTTAAATTTTTAAAGGAAGTGCTTAAGACAACATGGGGATCAGCTGAAACTAGGCCAGATTCGTTCCAGGTTTATTTGGCTTTGCCCTTGAGGAACATGGCTCATTTCCCCTCCCTTGTTAAAACTGTGGAACAGACTTGTTAAACAGCTCTGAAACTGTTAGGCCAGCCTCTTTGTTGACGGCTTCCAGTCCTCACAATCAATTTTGCCATTTCCAATACTGTTGTGAGTACAAACCCAACGTCATCACTTCTCCTGAATGGATTTAAGTCCTGATATACCAGCACAACCTGTTGGTGATCAACAGAAGACAGCAAATGTCAATGTTACATTAATACTGTACCTTGTAAGCCTTTTTTTGCTTATTACCTCACCAGTACTTCTGTTTTCTCTTGTTTAAAGCTCTGAGACAAATTAAGATCAGTTTCCTAAAACGATGCACTGCAGTCTGCTGTTAAGTGAAGTTCCTTCTGTTATATCTTTTAATAGAGAGGGATTGGGATATTACTTAAACAGCTAATTGTTTGTTTCCAACAATACATTTTTGTATTCTTTAAAATGGGAACCTGAAATCCCCATGCTCAGAGTTCAAACTGAGGAGGGACAGTAGTGGAAAGGGGATGCTGTTCCCCTTGTGAGACAAAGCAGCAGTGGTTACAAATAGATGTTTTCCCTTCTGAAAACTTCAGCAAAGCTACTCAAACTGAAGAATGCTCAGGGGAAGATAAAGTACAATAAATGTCAGCAAAAACTAAAGATAAAAAAGAAAAATGTTGATTGGATGAGTATTCATGTCAGTGAATTCCATATTTCATGGAAATCTCTTTGGCAGCAATTACAGCTACAAATTGTTATGCTTGGGTGAGCTTTCGGTCAGCTCAAACTCTTGGATTCTTCAGTCTGTCAGCAAGATGCAGCTTACTTCAGCTACTCGCCATATCATAACACAGATCTACTAGGATAGGTCTACCAACTTTGCACACTAGCTTGGTGCCATTTTGTATCCATTCTTCTTTGCAGATTTGCTCATGCTTAATCAGGTTGCCTGGGGATCGCTTATGGACAGCAGTTTTTAAGTCTTTCCACTGATTCTCAATAGGATTCAGGTCAGAACTTTGACTGGGTGCCTCAAGGACATTCACTTTCTTATTCTTAAGCTATTTCAGTGTAGCTCTGGCTTTGTGTTTTGAATCATTGTGCTGCTAAAAGGTGGATTTTTTTCCTCAGTTTTAAATCTTTAGCATATTGAAACAGGTTTTCCTATAGTATTTACCTGTACTGTGCCCTGTCCATATTTCCTTCAATCCTAGCAAGCTTTCCAGTCCCTGCTGAGGACAGGCATCCCTAATGTACACTACTGCCATACCTTGCCTGTGGGCATGGTGTTGAACTGGAGATGAGCAGTGTTGGATCTGCACTAAAGTTTGCATTTAGGCCAAAATAACCCCAGCTTGGTTTCATCTGAACACAACACCCTTTGCCACATTTTCCACTCTGCCATACTGGTCAGATTTGTGGTGTGACCGGAATATTGTTGACTGAGACACATTTTCTCCCATCTCAGACATTGAACTCACTGGCCTCACAGTGCCCTCCCTCCCCAGTCTCCTCCTTGCCCAGATGCTCAGTTTAGAGAGACAGCCTGATCAAGGCAGTGTGTGGGTGGGAAGATACTGTACACTCGTGAGACTGCTTCACCAAAAGGCTGGAATACATATGCAAACATAAGTTTGACATTTTGTCTTATTAATGCTCAGCGTCTTTATTAGCTTTAATTGTGTGGAGTAGGTTTGTGTACGTAACAAACATCAATTGCTCCTTCAAAGTTTCACGACTGCAA